CCTAAAAAATAATTATTATTATTATTTTTTGCCAGAACTTTTATTTGATTACCTAGCAACACTTCATTCAACTTTCTGCTTTCAAACATAAAAGCCTTGACCCGCCTTTACGTGACGGAGGAATGCTTCTCTCGCTTTCTGTGCTAAAATAGAAGCAGAGCGTCTCTGAACCGAATGCTTAGTTTTGATCTCTGACCATAATTTCAACAGCTGCCTCGCACCGATATCAGTCTGATCTCAACCTTAGACCAACTCCCCTCTCAGACTAGCAACAAGTCATTCCAAGCCAGTGCAACCAGCACCTTTTGTCACTTTCACACACAAATAGCTCTCAAACCGTTCAAGACTGAAAACAAGGAGACGCTATTTATAAGGCGCCGCACATGCGAAAGGAGAGCGCGAGTTCCGCCAGATGAAAGCATCTCTAACAGGTCGTTAATACGGTCATCAAAGCTACCCAGACCAGCCTTTTTAGTACCTTGAACCGATCTGATTTCAACCCGCTTTACAATTAGAAGCTAGTTTCGTGTTAGATGCAACCACCAGCGAGGCTGTCCAACATCTTTTTAAATGGGCAGCTGTCTAGCTAAAGTACGTAGATCTCAGCGCTGCACCTCCAATGCACCATTTAATGCGATTTGCTACAAAATCTTCACTGTTCTGTACAGCTCACCCAAACAGCGAATATCGTGTGTTCCGTGCGGGAAAACCAGGAACATTTTGCCACGGCTTCCCACGGGCTAAAGGAAGCCGCAGCTCCGCCGCAGAACCGGCTTCAATTCGCTACCAGTGATAGGTGTTTCCTCTTGCAGAGGCATTCGCAACTCCGGTAACCACAGGCGAGAAGGCTCCGCGGTCCGTCAGTCATCGATCGCCTCCTCGCCCGGTCCCTCTGACTTCAATTTCATTTCTAAGCCCGACTCCTAGGCTGTAAAACACGCACACACCACACAGACACACCAAAAGCTCCCGTTCTAAGTCCCTCTTAGGTCCTGTGCCATTAGCTGTCAGTGCATCAATCCGACGCGCGCGCGTGTGAACGGCACGGAAAGGCAACAGGAACCCGAAGAGAGGAGGGAAGGGGATTCCCTCTCCTCTGCGCGCACAGACCTTTTAGTGGCCGCTGCCTGGTAGCGAGGTCGGTGGTGGGGCCAGCTCCTGCGGCGGCGCCTGCAGCCCCAGCGGTAGGACCTGGAGAAAGGAGGAAGGGAGGAGGAGAGAGAGGAGCTCCGGAGCACCTTGTGCAAGTAGCCGGAGCGCAGGAGGAGGAGCAGAAGCAGTGGCAATGACCGAGAGCGGAGGAGACGCCTGCTTGCTGTAGCTCCCGACGTGAGGGGTGCGCCAGGGAAGACTTGCCTTCTCCGAGTGGGACGAACCTCTCCCCAATCTGCTCCTTAAGAGAGGGCTGTTCCCAACTCGCAATTTACTCTCGTAAGCGGTTACGAAACGGCAGGGAAGGTGGACTGCTGCCACCGGATGATATATGCGCGCCTCTCTCCTCCAGCAAGAAAGGGGAGCTACTGCTGGAAACTTGCGCATACTTCGCAACATTCCTAAGGCATGAGCAGGGCGAGCGCCGCGCAGCAGTGCCCTGGCGGGGGAAGGGGCAAGGGCCAGCGTGCCAAGGCCAGACGGATCTCTGTCTCCTCCGCTTGGGAGCCAAGCTGCAGCCGGATCAGGTTTCCCTGGCGGAGGCAAAGACGATTTTTCAAACTGGGGAACAATGAGAAGGGACCAAAAAAGAAAAAAAAACCAAATAACCTTAATGGAACCGTGTTAGGTGGGGGGGGAGACCCCGCTTCTGAGCGGCCGGAGGGAGGAGGGCCAGATTGAAATATGATAGAAGGTTTCCAGTAACCAACTGTCTGTCTATTTCAAGTGTGTCCTTTTCCCCCTTTTTAAAAGATACTGTCAGAGATTGAAAGCATTTGCAGAAGGGGAAAAAATTGGGTTGAGTACAATGCGTCGCGCTAATGAGGGTTGTCGCAATTATCTGCCCTTCAAACACAATGAAAGTACATGCCCTTCGGGCTTGACAAAAGGCAACTGGGCGCGTCGCGAGAGCGCTCTAAGTTATCAGCCGGATCAAAGGAAAGTCAAACTCGAAGCGTGCCAAGGAAGAGGAGGTGAAACCCTTTGAAGAAGCTGTCTGGCTACCACCATGTGTGCTGGAATAGTCACCCGTACAGCAGAGATTTATTGTTGTGAGCGCAAAATGCACCAGAGGCTGGAGCTGACAGAATCTAACTAGGTGAAAAGGGGACATGGAGGGTGCATTGTTGGGGAAGAACAGAATGAGGAAAAAACGAATTGAACCTAAATGAAAGGATAATCTTTCCAATCCAATTTCCCTATTTCCCACCACCACCACCCATCTGCTCCCTCCTCTTTCGACCCCTTCCCTTATTAGCCAACCTATCTGCCGCTAGCCCCACATGAAAGGGGCTATGTAAGGGAATCCCTAGAAGTGGGGTGACAGACAGAAGGAGACAAGAGATTTGGACCGGGGCCAACCCATCGCTAACTGTGTCTGCCAATTGACAGATAATTTTATCGTTGAATCTCCCTGAAATAAACATGATTTTGTTATCGGGCGCTTTGCGGAACTGCTTCCTTTGTGTAGAAACCAAAACATAGTTCGAAACCGGGCTCTGGATAATTGTAATTAAAATATGCGGATGTGTTCAGTTTGATCCGCTGGTAGCAGGATAAGATAAATAGAAATACTCTCTCTCTCTCTCTCTTCCATGCAAGTACACACCTCTCCCATCTATACCCGGAGCTAACCAGGCAAACGCTACGCAGAGAAAACGTAGCAAAAACAGTGTGACCCCGATGCTCTCACACCCCCGGGAGCCACCCAGCCACACGCAGCTAGTTCCAGCCTGGACGCTCCCAAGCCCTAGACACGCTCCTGCCGAAGCCAGACTCCCGGGCACGCTCCTGCACATCCCCATGTGCATTTGCAGACACTGACCCAGCGCTCCCGCCGTGCTCCGCCCCAGAAGCAGCCTGACTCAGACCTGCGCTCAACCGTGCAAGGCAGCCGGCCAAACACTAGGGATCCCCCCGGGCCCTGCCCCCGCCCGCTTTGAAAGGTAGAACTGCGGGGCACGTAATCGAAGGTGATTTCGTGTCTTGGCTCTTTTACAGCCTCTAAAGCGCAGGGGCGGAGCGGCTGCCTGCCTGCTGCGCTCACTGCACAGCCGCGTTCTGAGCCCGGGCGCTCCCTGCCGCGCCAGGGGGTTGTTGTGGCTGGCTGGGCTACGCTTGGTAGTGCTCGGCGTGGCTACAAAGCCTCTCAGGGGCGAGCCTTTGGAGGCCAGTCGCCACCACGAGCGCAGGAACTCGCCAATGTGTGTTACGGGAGACTCCCCCAGCTTCAGAGGAAAGCGGGGACCCCTGATCGCGGCAGCGCGCCAAGATCTCCCCAGCCGGTGTGTGCGAATTAGACACACACACCAAAAAGCCAAGTGTCTCAGCCTTCGCTTGGCTCGCCTCCTGGGTCTCTCCCAGCCTGCACCCGCTCCCCCACATCGCTCCGCAGCCGCGGGGGTAGCCCTGGCACTGGGCGGTCGAGACAGGACACCTGGCTGGTCCATTCCCAGCTACCTGCCTTTCCGCCCCAGTTAGGAACAGGAGCGCCACAGTCCCAGCCCTGCTGTGGCCATGGACCATACTCAACTAGGGACTGACTGTATTTCTCTCGCTCGCTCGAGGACTGAAGGTTTGCCCCTCCCTCTATACGTATTTTCCCCACAAAGGAATGAGAGCAGGAGGGGGAAATTAGCCCTATCATTTATTGTCCAACAGCGCAACCTAGCGGTGGATTTCAACACAGACTTGTGTTAGGAGGCAGGCTACACCTGAAACCTTGCTAAAGTGGCCTGCCAAGATTTAACATGCTCTGGGCCATGCTGCTTTCCTGGAGGGGCTCTCTCTACCACATACCCATGGACCACCTGGCTCAATGCAAACCTTTCTTTAGATCACCAAATCTCATGGAAACTCACCGTTAATTACATAATTACACCCAAGCTATTTTGCTAGTGCTGCAGCTAGGGGAGAATGGTTTAATTTCAATTATTAAACAGATTAAGCGTTAGTTAATCATGTTAGTTTATCAAACTTCATTTTAAATAAAGTAAATATGCTGTCCAACACAAAAGATGTCAATGTTTTCTTTATTTATGGCAGGGGTGAGTCAGGGTATTTTTGATCAAGGGTCACTGACCCACAGAAAAATCAGTTGGGGACCACACAAGTGAAAGCAAAGAAACTCCTCCCCAAATCCCTAACCCTCACTTGATGTGGCCCCTAACTGAGACACTTCACTCTTCGGGTGCTGCAGCCCCCACGTGGTGAAGGGAAGGGACAGGGAGGACTTAGGTTCAGGGCTTTCCATAGGCCAGATTTGCTTTTCTGGGGTTCCAGAGTTAGTGGATTTTGTGGACCCCTTAGTCTCTGGGGTGGGGACAAAAATGAGGGGTTCAATATGCAGGACAGGTCTGCCAGCAAGTGGGATAGGGATGCAGGACCTGGGTGGGAGGTGGGGTGCAGAATGGAGTGAGGAGGGCAGGGTCTGGAAGGGAGTTTGGTGGCAGGAGAGGGTGTGGAGTGGGGACACAAGAGGGAGTTTGGGGGCAGGAGGAAGTTCGGAGAGTAACGCAGAAAAGGTGAGAGGGTAAGAATGCAGCCAAATAGCTAGTTGGGGAGGGAGGCAAAGAATGGGGAGTAAAGGAAAGTGTAGCTTCTGCAAAGTAAAATTGTATCCTCCTACCATCTTCCCTCTGCTCCAGCCTCCCTCCCCTCAGCCTCATAATGCTTCCCAGCCTGATCTCCTGCATCGCACCATGCCCCTCAGTACAACCCCTGCCCCCTCCCATTCTACCCCCGCATCTTCCTTCACCCCACCTCTATGCAGGAAGCCAAACCTGGCTCCAGCCTACAGCTGTGTGTGTGGCTGAGGTATGTGTGCCATGTGTGCTGTGGGTTGCCACCCCCAGAGCTAAAGGAAGAGAAAGGAAACTATTCTACTTTAAAATGGCTATAAGTGTTGTGCACTACTTGAAAATATTAAACACAATTGTCAAGAAAGACAACATGCTAGCTCAGGCTTATGACCCTTCTAGCCTACTAGCCTATATTCTAGTAGTGGCCAATTCCAGATGCTTCAAAGGGCAATTTTCAAGTGATCCAACCCGTATCATTCCTTGCTAGAATCTGGACACCCAGAGCATGGGATTGCCTCTCTGAGCATTTTGGCTAATAGCCATTTGATGGGACTGTCCTCCATGAAAATAACTATTTTTTTTTAATAATCTACTTGAGTCACCACAATGAAAGAGGCCCAAGAAAACAGAAGTTGTTTCCATTTCTTACAGATTTATTGTGTTATTTATATTGCAGAAATATCCAGAGACCCACCACATTCAGTGTCAGGCTCCTGTGCCAGTCCACTCTGCAGTCTTACACAAAAGCACAATCCCTATCCAAAGGGCTTAGAATCTAAAAACCATAGAGAAAGAAACAAGATGAATAGCTGGCAAAAGGAATACAACATACTAGCAAAGGATGAGTGTTAGTCCAACACAGAACCCAACATAAGGCGTATGTACCATTTCTGTTCCCCTTAAGCCCTACTTTGAGGGGGATGTGGTATGTAAGTGGTGCATACGACTTGTGCTGGCCTTCTATATAGAGATTAATTTAACATAAAGAAGTCAAGGTGTGTGACTGAACAATAAAAGGGACAAATTCTGCTTTGAAATACACTCTATATACAGTAGCCCATTTTAACTGAAGTACATCTCTGTACTATTTGAACCATTGTATTTGTTTACATTCACTTCTGTACCATTTAATTTTTCCTAAACACCTGAAAATGAGGCCAAGTGCAATTAAAATTAAAATTAAAATTTTAAAGGACAGGTCTATGGATGAGATAACCTTTTCCACAAATAGCTTGTGTTTCATGGGCCAAGGATTGCTATATTTAATTCTGCAGCAGTCCTGTTGATATCATAAACCCAGAGTTTACAAAGAAAGAAAGAAAGAAAGAAAGAAAGAAAGAAAGAAAGAAAGAAAGAAAGAAAGAAAGAAAGAAAGAAAGAAAGAAAGAAAGAAAGAAAGAAAGAAAGGCATTTAGAAATTTGGTCACTCTTTCTACCGTACTTGGAGGTAGAGGGCTTCCCAGCTGGCAAACCAGAATCCTTAGCCAGGGTCTCTGAATATTAACCTGATCCTGATTAATTAATGTGCCATGTAGTACATTAACACTTTATTGTAACTTAACCTTAATAAAATGTTTAGGGAAAGGAAGAAATCTAGAAGCCGTGCACTGATATTTCCAGACACTCTGAAAGTGAGTCATCCCCTCTTAGGAACATACCATAAATTCAGCATCTGGTATTGCTAACATGCACTTTCTAGAACGTATATCTCCCCCTCACTGGATTATCAAATACTCTTGACCTGCGAACCCCCAGACTAGATTTTCAATTTTAATTTACTTTCAGCATTTCAATATTTAGGGAGTTAATTTCTTAAAACTAATCTCTGTAATTGAAAATTATTTTTAAAAGAAATGC